TGACTCATAGTGACCCTCACTGGCTTTCTAAGGCTGTCAATTTTTAAAAAAATTTTTTATTGTGATTTGGCTGTAAATTTACAAAGCGAATTCATTTTCCATCCACCAGTTCATACACATTTTGTTTTATAACATTGACTGCAATTCCCCACAATGTAACAGTTCTCTTCCCACTTCCTCCCTATAGTTACCTCTTCCATGTGTCTTCTTTCCTATGCATCCCTGCCCCCCAAGCTGTCTCCTTGTACAAAAACTGCCCTTCTTTTCTCCCCTGATTGATGGTTAACCTGATGTAAATGTTCACCCTATATGCCTCTCAGTTGTTTGGATGGAAGCATGGGAGTGAGTTCAAGTCCAGACCTGAAGGAAAAGTAAGGGCCATAGTCTCAGGGGTCTCACCAGGCTCTATCAGACCAGTAAACCTGGGCTTTTTTATGATTTTGAATTTTGTTCCACATTGTTCTCCCACTCTATCTAGGATCTCCTACACAGATCCCCTCCGAGTGGTTGACAGTGGTTAGGCTATAAATCTTTACAGAAGGAGATTGCTTCATCTTCCTCCCACAGAACAGCTGGTGGGTTTGAACTGCCAACCCTCTAGTTGGCAGATAAATGCCTTATCCACTGTGCCACCAGAGCTCCATACACACACACAGATAGCTTTTTTTAAAAAAATCAGATCATCTGGCAGCAATTGGTTGGAGTGGAGTTAGAGCTGCCCCCTCTAGAAGAGATTTGAGTTCTGTTTGCCACAGTTCCCATCACTTCCAATTGTTTCCCTGTGAAGCAAAATGTTCATTGTTAATGCATGTGCTATAGTTTTTCTTATAGTAGAAGAATATTGCCCTTTGTGCGTGGCTCTGTTAAAAGGGAGAAGACTGTGTGTTTCAGCCTTTACCCCGTGGACAGTGGAGAGCAATTGTATGAGCTATGTTCTATTGGTCCCCAATTCAGGTGGGCTGAGGGGGGTGGGCAACAGAGGCAGAGGGAAGGCTTAGCTTCTGCCTTAGGAAAATTCTTGGGGAGGTTTTCAGGCCACATAGGTCATATTGGAAGAGGCAGATCTCTGAGTGTCAAAGCCAAGGAAACACCCTGTAGTCATCCCACATGGCCCTGGAGTACTAGTTACTTCTTGCATAACCTGCAGTAATTCCCAGTCGAACTTATAAAGGCTCCAGGCTGAAAAAAACTGGACTCTCCCTGTGGTAGTTCAGTTTGTGTCAACTTGGCTGGGCCTGGTTGAGTGGTTGGGCAGCTGGATGTAGTATTCCCCATGATGCGACTGGTAATCAATTCCATGGTGGACTCTTCTGTGAGCAGCTGAGTAGCTGCCTTTGGGATGTGGTCTGCTTCCTGTATATAAACAGAAGCCTTGGGGAACAGTCTCAAGCTTACGGCACGCTTGAACCCTGCACGTAGCCGTGTCATTGTTCTGCAGCCTGCCATGCTTTGCCGACCTTGGGACTTATGATGGACTTAAGTTAACGGCCTGCCATGTGGTTTGGTAACATCAGGACTGTGCCTTTTTACTTGTCAACCTTGGGCTTCTCAGACTTAGCAGCCAGTAGCTATCTGAGTGAAGAAACACCTCTAGCTCCAGTGGGCCGGGAGCAGAAGGTAGAGCTGAAGCCCAAGGTTGAGGGGCATTCACACAGCTCCAAGAGCCTGGCACTTTGAACTTGGACTTAAAGCCTCCAAACTGTTAGAGAATAAACTCCTGTTTGTTAAGACCATCTCATTTGTGGTATATTCCTGTCAGAGCAGCACTAGGTAAACAGAACACTCCCAAACACACTTTCTCAGTTTTGTATTAAAATAAATCCTGAGGAGGGCTGTTTGGGAATTATTGACCAAAATTTTAAATGGATTTACCTGAGTTACCTGACGTTTCTACTTCTAGGAATTTATCCTTCAGACCTTCTCCCACACACAATTTTGTATGTCAAGGATATTCACTGAAGCATTGATTGTAATGGGAAAAACGGAAAGGACCCAAATGGTCATCAGCAGAAGATTAAATAAATTATGTGACAACCAAAGGTTGGAATACTATACAGTCATTAAAAAGAATGAGAGTGCTCTATTTGAATTACATGGGAATATCTCCTCGGAAACCCAAGGAGGGGTCGCTATGAGTCGGGGCTGACTCGACGGCACATAACAACAACAACAACAATCTCCAAAATAGTTAAAAAGCAAAGGATAGAACAGTATATGTAGCATGCTTCTGTGAGTATAAAAGAAGAGAAAATATATATTACACATATACCAAAAAGAACTAAACCTACTGTCATTGAGTTGATTCTGACTCATAGCGACCCCCATTGGGTTTCTGAGATGGTAAATCTTTATGGAAGTAGATTGCCCCATCTTCCTTCTGTGGGGTGGCTAGTGAGTTTGAACCACCAGCCTTCTGGTTAGCAGTCAAATCCCTTAAACACTGTGCCACCAGAGCTTCTTATTATACATATATATCAGTATAAAGATATCTAGATGGACAAATGAGATATAGTACATCATTTGTCTTCAGGAGGAGAATTGGTGACTCGGGACAGGGTGAGAGTGAGACATTTTCTCACTGTATGTCTTTTTTTTTTTTTTTTTTTAATTTTGTGTTATATGTTTGTATTATCCATGCAAACTGATAATATTTTAAAGATAAACATGAATGCTAAGTTCTTACACCATAAGCTTATATTACCATAATAAAAAACTGATATTAATTCTAAGAATAGACTCAGAAATGCTTCATAATACAAGTCACAAGGCTATCCTAGCTTTTAACCAAGTTCTAGTTCAGTTATTGTTGAGAATCTCAGAATGCATTTACCCCTTTCAGAAACTGTATTATAGGTAGTATTTAGGTTTCTCAACTATGCCCAAGTCCAAAGAACCCAGAATGCAGGTGACCTTGAGGGCTGGCAATCTGAGTCAACATCTCTAACACTTTGGGGGAGCCACTCCTGGTTTCTGCTGAGAGCCAGAGTTCTTTCTGCTACAGCCCTACCAGGAGGACTCTTCCCCTTCCCAACCAGAGAGCAAGGGGACGGGGATGTGAGTTCCTGACCTGGGGAGGGGGTCTGGGCTTGGATGTCAGCCGACTAGGAGCTGTGTGTGTGAGTGTGTAGGTGTGTGCACGTGTGTGTTTAGTTATGTTGGTTCAACCCAGCTCCACTTACCAACTATATATATATCTTTGGACATGTGACTTAACCTCTCTGAATGTCTATGCCCTTATCTGTTAAGTGTGGATAATAATAGTATCTTCCTCATAGAGTTGAGTGATGAATCTATGTAAAGTATTTAAAATAGTGCCTTGCTAAAACTGTGCCTTGCATACAGTAAGTGATCAATAACTTTTTGTGGGTTTTTTGTTTTTGATTTTCTGCCTCTGATTTTTAATTCTTGGAACATATGCACATGCTTTAGTCAGTTTCTCTACTGTTTTTGTCTCTAACACTATGGCTGTAGTGGTTTTTCTGAATTACTGTTTTTAATATAGTAAACAGATAAGAGTCCAAAAGCTCTTTTTGTAACCTGTCCTCATTCTGTTCCCCTCCCTCCCTTCCCAGAGGTAACCACTGTTCTGCAGGTGATGTGTCCTCAATAAACATAGAGCACGCTTTCCATGGGGTTACGGTTGCGGGAAGACAGCCCATTTACAGGTGTTCTGCCCCTGACCACTCTCTCTCCCGATCAGGTGGTGAGCTATGCCCCGTTCACACTGTTCCCCTCACTGGTCCCCAGTGCCCTGCTGGAGCAGGCCTACGCCGTGCAGATGGACTTCAACCAGCTGGTGGACGCTGTCAGCCAGAACGCCATCTTTCTGGAGCAAACTCTCTCCAGGTACCAGGCAGTAGGGTTCAGGGGGCTGGGAGCTACTAGAACCAGGGGACTGGCTGTTCCTACAGCAATTGACTTGGTGGGGTGGACGACAGGTGAGAGGGAGAAGCAGGAAACAGTGGACTAGGAGTCAAGAGAGTGGGCTTTTCATCCTGTCTCCTTCCTTTCTCTGGGCCTCGATTTCTTCATCTGTAAAAGGAGGTTGGCCTAAATCTGGGATCCCTTCCAGCACTGGCATTCTGTGATTCATGACCCTTTGCTTTGAAGACCGGAATTTCCATTTGGAATTAGGGATGATCAGCCTGAGACTTTCCCTAATTCCAAAAAGATAACACAAGGCAGTAAAGGTTATTGGGTTTAAAGTCAGATTTTCCTACATTTTGTCCTGAGCAGTGGCCCTTTCTTACCATCTCAGGCCTCTAATCTTTGGGTAAAGACTGGGCCACACTCAAGGCACGAAGAAACAGAACCCCTGAAATGACTCATCCCATTCATTCATCCTCTTCTCCCTTCTCCCTTGATCTTTTTTTTTAAAAATTACTATTATTTTTTTTTCTGCTTCAGACCCTGGGGCAAAGGAAATTTCTCTGTTTTATTCTAGAATTAATTATTGACACTCTGGTGGTTGCATGACTTTGATTAGTTTTTTAAAACAAAACATTTTGTTAGAGGCAAAGTCTTTTAAAAATGTGCCTCTTTGTGTGACAGTAGATATGAAAAGGCATCATTAATGGTAAGAAGTTTGAGAACCATTGACTTAAAGCTAAAAACTCAATTGGTCATGATCGTGTGAACCACACCATCACTACCTTCTCCCCAGGTCTTTCTCAGGCTGGGCCTGGTTTTTGTGCCTACAGTCCTGGATTATGGAAAACATGAGTAGCCTCGCTTATAACCTTTATCCTACCTTCCCTGCAGTGCATCTCTTCACCCTCGGCCCTCCTTGCTCCTCCCTCCTCTTACGTACACACAACGCTCCCAAAGGAGAAGAGCCCTGGGAGCGCACGTTAGAGCAGCCGCCTGAAGTGCAGGGTTGAAAAAAGACCTCCTGGAAAAAGGGACTATAGGTCTCAGCATCCTAGAGGCTGAAGCCCAGCTGGGAACTACTCTCCTTCTCTCCCAGGGCTGGAAAGGACCCTGAAGGAGTTGGCTGTAGAGCCGAGGAACTGTAGGGCAGGTCTGAGTTACGTGGCTCCCCTCACTGGGCTGCAGCGAGGTGGTTCCCTATAAATGGCGAGCTGGCAGGCCAGGCTTGAGCAGCCACGCAGAATCCACCTTGGATCCTGAGAGGGAACACGTGTGGTGTCAGTCGCCTGTGGGCTCCTCACTGTGCCTTTTCCTGAGACTGCACAAAAGCCCACCAGATGGACCCCTACTGCATGGCCATGTCATAGCAGCTCACTGGCTGTCTATTATAATGAGCCAACACAGACATGGTCCTGCCCCTGTGCCATTTATAGTCAGATAGGAGAGACCACGCTCATCATCACACAAATGAAATGGAAAATTGTAACTGTGATCAGTGCTATAAATAAAGACCCGCAAAGCTTTGAAAGGACGTAACAGGGATCTGGCCCAGATAAGGAAGCCTTCCCTTTGAGGAACGCACGTCATGAGCAATTCTTTTTTTAAAAAAAACAACAGTATGTTTAGTTGGATTGGAAAAATCCTATTGTGGCATCAGCTATCTTCTAATCTCTAAGGACTATCATAGGGGAGGATAAGTCCTGACCTGGGAGGTCCCAGGATCTAAGGGAAGCTACAGAGAAGAGAGTTAAATGTTAGGTCAGCCAGAAAGCTTGACAACCCTCTTGAACTACTGAGGTATAGAATAGTACAGAATAGTATAGAATATACCACATGTCATGTTTTAGTTCTTCTTGGGACTAAATACTATGTTTCATCCTTTACATGAAGTATCTCATTTAATCTTCACAATTCTGCCACATAAAGCTGATTCTTTTCCTCTTCACTTTATATATGACCAAACTGACACAGAGGTGAAGTGACTCTGAAGTTGCCTCGTAGTGAGTGGTAAAGCTGGGACCTTAACCCAGGTCATCTGGCTCTAGAGCTGGGTCCTTCCTCACTCTTCTTTACCATGACTTGGGGTGTGTGTGTGGGGGGGTTTCACGGTTTGGCTGGGAGACCCAGAGAGAATTCAGGAGTCAATGGACAGGGTAGAACCCCTTGATCTTTAAGGTCCTGTGTAGCTTGGAAAATATTACCTGTTTCCTCTTCTAGCACCATCAAAAGGGATGACTTTACTGCTCGTCTCTTTGACATCTATAAACAAGTCTTGAAAGAAGGCATTGCCCAGGTAACCACTCCCCACCCCACCCCAGTGTGAGACCTATCCCACCCATTTGTGTTTTTTTTTTAGCAGAAGTTGGCCCAGGCTCTTAGCTAATGAGCCTTGCTCACTGGCTCCCACTGGTTTGTACGTTGGAGAACAATGCTGGGATGACCAGAAGGATGATTTCCCCTGGGTTTGGGAGTGTTAGCCAGTGACTCCAATTTCTGCATAGAGTTCACGGGACTTGGCCAGGCCCTCAGAGTCAGCCCCTGGGTAGATGCCCTCAACCTTCAGTTTTCCCTCACAGACCGTGTTCCTGGGCCTGAACCGCTCAGACTACATGTTCCAGTGCAGCGCAGATGGCTCTCCAGCCTTGAAACAGATTGAAATCAACACCATCTCGGCCAGCTTTGGGGGCCTAGCCTCCCGGACCCCGGCTGTGCACCGGTGGGTCCCTTGAGCAGCCCTGGGCACATCTGTGGGGTGAAAGCCTGGCCTGGACCTACAGTTGCAAGCTGGGCCAGGGATCGCCATCTCTGACTGTGCCTTCCTGGGGCCCAGCTCATGTGTTTCCCTTGCATCAGGGTTTTACTTGTAATTAGGGCGTGGGCATGTCCAGGAGAGAAGGAACCCCAGAGGTCATCTATTCCTGCCCCCTCATTGTATGAATTAGTGTTCCAGGCAGAGGGAACAGTCTCTGTGAGGGCCGTGGGGTGAAAAAGAGCTTGACATATTTGACCTGAAAGGATGTCAGAATTCAGTGCAGGGAAGGGTGCAGGGCTTCCCCATCTGAGGACTGAGCCCTAGTGATGCCCATTTCTGGCCGACAGTGATGCTCCAGGTTGCTATGATTCCAGGTGGTCTGCAGCAAGATGCCAGAGAGTACCTGAGGCCCAGGGAGAGGGGGCTCCAGCTCATTGGGAGGCCGGGGTGGGAAGAGTCACAGGATCTCAGCGCTCCTCTGGACAGGTACACTAGGCACCAGGGTTAGGGCAGCCCAGCATATTCCAGCCTGAGGTGGATCCTCCAGGAGCATGATGGGAAGATGCTTTTTAGTGCTGAGCTGGTTCTCATGGTGATGTTGGGGTCTGTGAGTTCACCAACAGAGGGGTCTTCCAGGTCTGTCAGATACTGAATTGCCATTTCTCTTCCAACAGACATGTTCTCAATGTCCTGAGAAAGACCAAAGAAGCCACCAAGATCCTCTCCAATAACCCCAGCCAGGGATTGGCCTGGGGGATCGCCAAAGCCTGGGAGCTCTACGGCTCAGCAAAGTAAGGGAGCAAGACACAGGCAGCAGTATCCTGCTTTGGATTCCGCACTCATGGGCACAGTGACTTCTGCTTTGCCTGGTATCATTAGGGAATGAGACAATTTTTCTAAGAATGGAAGCTGACACCTTCAAGTCCCAAAATTAGTTTAATGGACTTTGGGCTTCCTTCTTAAATAAGAGGTACTGGCCGTATTTATCCTTGTCTTGTTGGCTGGAGGCCATCATTATGTTTGCAGCCTGTTGTCGTGCTGAGGTGCTACCTAAGATCAGAGAGGCATGGGAGGCTGGCTGTCCACACCAATGGCCCCAGAGAGCGGGGCTCTAAATTCTCATTCATCTTCTTCATAGTTTTTCTGTCTGTTTCTCTACCGTCAGCTCTTACTTCTTGCCACTGCCCGTGTGCTGCCATTTGGACTCTCTCACTCCTGCCTCCACACCTCCTTTCAGATTCACAAGAAGGCACGTTCTCGGGGTTATTAGGATGTGTCTGAAGAGTGTGAGGGCCTCTCTGATGAATGAATGCATATGCTTTGGATTAGGTTAGGCATTTTATGGTGTCTGTTTTAACTGCTGAAGGAGCCCTGGTGGTGCAGCGGTGGTGCTGTGAACCAAAAGGTTGATGGTTCAAACCCTCCAGCTGCTCCATGGGAGAGAGATGCATGGCAGTCTGCTTCTGTAAGGATTTACAGCCGTGGAAACCCTAAGGGGCAGTTCTACTCTGTCTTATGGGATCACTGTGAGTCAGAATCAACTTGATGGCCATGGGTTTTGGATTTTAAGTGCTTAGAAGCATATTTTGCTTTCTTCCTATCTCACAACTGCAGTGTTGGCAGATGTGAGTTGCTAGGTAAGTGACTTGTGGATAAATGAAGGGCCACTGTACTAACAGTTATTGTGCTATTAATAAAATATTAATCATTAACAGTTAATGAGCACTTACCAGCGCTCATTAGTGCCTTATGCTAAGTACTTTACACACCAGAGCTTATCGAATCTTCAGAGCAAACACTCTGAGGTAGACGCTATTCATCGCCCCCATTTTATAGATGAGGAAACTAAGTTCAGAGAAGTGAAGTGACTTGTGCAAGGTCAAGTGGTAAGTGGATGGCAAAGCCTCGAGCCCACCTCCCTCCAGATCTGCTTCTTCAAATTGTGGTAAAATATACACAGAATGAAATTTGCCACTTTGACCATTTCCAGGCACACAATCCAGTGGAGAACTGCATTCTTAATTGCTCTGTTACCTCTGAGAGAGCCGCTCCGGGCTCACTTAGCCTCACTGAGGTCTAAGAAACTTCAAACTCGGTCGCTCAGAAATTGGCAGACAAATCGTCTGTCAAGAACTCTGGCTTTGGTTGTATTTTAAGAGAATGAAGCCAGGGGATGGGTCAGCTGGGGAACTGCTGACAGACAATGCTGCAAGTAGTTGCTCCCGTCAGGCTGCAAACAAAAGGAAAAGGCTTTTGTGCCCAGAGTTAGGCACTGGTTGGTCGGAGCGCTGGGCCGCCTGAGCTGAGCGTGGCTTCTACCAGTGTTGAGGGCCCCAGGGCTCTTCTGCTGACCCAGCATGTGACCTCAGTTGGTCTCTTTCTCTGAGCTTGAGTTCCCTCATTTGTAAGATATGTGTAATAATGACACACAAAAGAGCGGTAACCCGTTCCTGTGGAACAGATTCCGATTCATGACGACTCCATGTGTCACGGAGTGGAACTGCCCCATTGGGTTTTCTGGGCTGTAATCTTTACAGAGCAGGTCACCAGGCCTTTCTTCTGCTTTAGGTTAGTAGTGGAGCACAGACCACTTGCACCATCCGGGGACCTGTACAAAGTGGTAGTGAGAAATCATTGAGATCATGAATATGGAAAATGACTTGAAAAACAAAAAACTGGATGAGGAGCATGATATGTCATTTCCCAGTATAACAACAACAATAACACTTGTTAGTTAGGCGCTGTCTAGTCACTTCTGGCTCATAGCGACCCAGTGTACAATAGAAGACAAAATTGCCTGGTCCTGTGCCATCCTCCCAGTAACTAGCCATGAAGGAGCTCTGGTGGCGTAGTGCCTGAGGCATGTGATTGCTAAGCAGAAGGTTGGCGGTTAAATCCCATCAGCCACTCCCGAGAAGGAAGACTGAGCAATCTACTTCCGTGAAGATGTACCTTAGAAACCCAAAGGGGGTTGGTTGCGATGAGTCAGAATCGACTTGATGGCAGTGAGTTTGGTTTTCTTTTTATCATATAAAAAGTATGAGTTTTATTTAGCAAAAGAGCAAAGGTTATTTAGCAAAGGTTCAGAGAGGTTGAGTAACTTGCACAAAATTCCACAGCTAGTAATATAGAATTCATATCTATCTGCCTCTAATGTTTTTGTTCTCTACCACCCTCTTCTGCATCCAAGAGGTATGGTCCCATAGTGTAGACTGGAAAATTAAGGTGCAAGTGTTTGTAGAACAAATGAATGTTTATCAGTTATCTCATGCTTTTAAAGAAATTTTTTTAAATGCAGACTGGAAAATAAATTTTTATTTCAATTTACACAAACTCTTTCAAAGCATAAGGTTTGTGGTTGGAATGAATAGGAATGAGAAAAGGAGATTTTGGTGGTAAAAAGTTGGGAATTACTGGTCTGTTTAACCCTTTATTTTGTATGAGGAAATCAGGGCCCAAAGAAGAAACTGACTTGCTTAAGGACACAGCACGAGTCACTGACAAAGCCAGGAGTAGGACTCAGGAGTCCTCACTGCCACCCCAGCATGCACCTGTCCCTTCACCTTCCTCAGCTGATAATGTTCCCAGCCCTTGGCCAACAGACTGCTCAGAATTGAAGGCAGGGGGAGGTAGAACGTGCTTTCCGGGTGTAGCTATGAGCATTTTGGCAGGTAGCAGCTGACTTCATTAGCCAGAGCATGAGGTTCCAGTTTAACCTATGGCCTCTAGCCTGCCTCCTCGGCCTCCTCTTGGAGGTGGACCACCCTCCCACACACACTCACACATCCTCACCCCAGACCCCAACAGATCAGACTACAAAGTAAAGAGCAAGGCCAATGGCTTTTGGGACTCTCAAGGCAAGGTGGCTTGTGAGACCACTGTTTCCAGCTTGTCTCTCAGATACGCAGGCTCCAAGCAGAGATGTGGTTAATGTCACTTCTGACCTCATGAGATGACAAGCAGGCCAGAAGAGGGGGTGTTGCCAGGACCTGTACTTTGGCCAAGTGGAAAGGAGTCAGGCAGATAGTTCCATCTGAGGGGTCCAGCTGAGGTAGGAAAAAGCAGAGGCAAACAGATAAGAGGCCAACCAAGTACAGGAGGTGAGAAATCCACACTTAGAATCCTAAATCAAAATCTGGGCCTCCAAGAAGCTCAGCAAGAAGCCACAGGCACAGAGCAGTACTGCTCCCGGGGAAATGGAAGTTGGTACTGCTGAGCACAGGCCAAGTGAGTCTGCTGGAGGACTGGTGCTGTCTTTGGAACTGAAAATAGCTTGGCTGGTAGCCAGCAGACAATTCTCTGGCATAGGTTTTCTCTGAGTCCTTGAGCCACTGCTTCTTTAAGAAAGCTGTGGCTAAGTAGAGGAAATGGGGGCAGGTAAGCCCCCCTGATTCCATCCATACTGTAGGACCAAACCTGGCCCTGTATATATCCCAGAAATGTTGGGAAGTCGCAGGAGATACTCTCTTATTTATGTTTGGCTGTATAGACTTTTTGTAGGGTTCCATCGAGCTATTCTAATGTTTCAAGCAAGAACCACACTTTTTTTTCTTCTAATAATCTAGTAATGGAGTCATTAGTCTCCAACCCCTAACATTGTTCTATTACAAACTATTCTTCAATACTTGTACCTGTTTATTCTTCTAGACAGGTTTTAGAATTATTATGTTAAATTCTAAGAAGATAGTCTTCTTGGGTTTTTGAGATGGTTTTAAATGTAAAATTTAATTTGCACAGAAAATTGACATCATAACAGTACCCACTGGAGAAGAAGCAGGGAGAACCTCATTTTTTCATGTTTCGTATTTTCTGGAAATAATGTGTGATAGCCTCTGGTATCTATGCCTGAGGCCACCCTGAATTGCAACGGGCTGCTCTTTCTCGGGAAGTGTTCTCTCTCTCCCTGATGGGTGTGGGACGTGGGACAAAAGGAGCTCTGTGGCTGCCTGGGGCCACCTGTGCTCTTTCCCCAGTGCCCTGATGGGTGTGGGAGTGTGGGACGTGGGACGGAAGGAGGCGAGCTCTGTGGCTGCCTCGGGCCACCTGTGCTCTTTCCCCAGTGCCCTGGTGCTGCTGATCGCTCAAGAGAAGGAAAGGAACGTGTTTGATCAACGTGCCATAGAGAATGAGCTGCTGGCCAGGTAAGGAAGGGAGAGGGCCTCCCGGTGTGGCCCCAGGACCGGGGAGGGACACTTGGAACAGAGCATCCACTCACAATGCCCCTTGCCCGCTTTTCCCAGGAACATCCACGTAATACGGCGACGATTTGAAGATGTCTCTGAAAAGGGGTCTCTGGACCAAGACCGTAGGCTGTTGATGTGAGTAGTCAGGGAGCATTCCCTGAGCACCCAATAGAGTGTGACTTAGGAACCTTATCCTACCACCCTCTTCCCCCAAACTATCCTTTCTCCTGGGAGATGTGATGGCTTGTTTCCTTCTTTCTAAATTGTAGGTGTGAATCTAAAGTATTCCATCTTCCTGGAAATTTTGGAGAAGGCTAGCCATGCTCTGCTTCTGAAGGGTTGTATCAGAGCTGTTGACATCTGGATCAGGGCATTCTTAAAGATAACCTTGGTTTCCATTTATGCCTAGGCTACCAACACTTTTCTTGCTCTTCCTGGTCAGGTCAGGCCTGGGCTGTTGGGCTGGGTAGTCAGGGAGGAAGAGGAGCAGTCGGCTCATTCTGTGATGATCTAAGTGCCATTCTCTGAGTTCAGGCAAGACCTCAAAGAGCCTTGATTTGTGTTCTAGCTCAGGCCCTACCCTTCCTTCCTGGGACCGCCACAAGGTGGCCTTGGTGTCACATATTTTAGTAGCATTGTTCCATGCACCCTCCATGTAATACCACAGTATCACTTACTATTTTTAAACTATGCTGCTTATCATATAAACAAAGTTAATTTCCTTTTCATTTTAAATGGATAAACCAAATATTGAGTACCCCACCGCCACTGAGTCAGTTCTGACTCAGCGACCCCCCTCGGGTTTCCAAGGCTGTAAATCTTTATGGAAGTAGATTGCCTCATCTTCCTCCCGTGGAGTGGCTGGTGGGTTCAAACTGCCTACCTTTGGTTAGCAGCCCAGCACCTTAACCACAGCACAACGAGAACTCCTTAAACATTGAATAGGTCAAAGAAAAGGGGAAGAAGTTCAAAAAGACAGTCTGTATCTTAATTAGATTTGTAATTTTGCTTCTCCCTTATACCCACTCTTGCCATTTTTTAAATCCGAGCCTAGTTTCAGCTACTTCAAGCAGTGAAAATACAAGTGTTTTTTGATAAATACGGTAATATTATCCTGCTATGCAGTAGTTTGGAGCCCACGTTTTTTGAATTTGGCTAATTCAGTTCTGATTACCTGCGTGTTGCCCTTCTGACCTTCCTAGAATGCCTCTAAACAAACAAAAAACCAAACTCACTGCCGTCAAGTCAGATCCAACTCATAGCGACCCCACCTTGGGTTTCAGAGGCAGTATCTCTACGGAAGTAGATTGCCCAACCTTCCTTCCAAGGAATGGCTGGTGGGTTTGAACCGCCAGCCTTCTGGTTAGCAGTCAAATGCCTTAGGCACTACGTCACCATATCTCCTAGAATCTGCAGAATTCTAAAGCGGCTCGCTCTTTCTTCAACAGTCTAGACATTCCTTCCTGCACACCTCCACGTTTTTCAGCACAACCACTGGGGTGCAGGTATCTATTTCCACTGGTTCCAATGAACCCCCGTCTAGGCCACCCCTGTGGACTAACCTATGTTGATATACCCAGGAAAAGATTGAACCACTGGGCATATCAGTTATAAATTAACACAGCAGCTTTCTCCATTCTGTGTCCTAGGGATGGCCAGGAAGTTGCTGTGGTTTACTTCCGGGATGGCTACATGCCGAGTCAATATAGCCTACAGGTTAGTATTTCCTGTGAGACCATTCTTCTCCTCTTGGGACCCACCAGAGCTCCAGAGAGACTCAACTCAGGCTCCACAACAACCGGCGCTTTTCCCTGGGCCCTGAGCTCAGAGCCTCAGGGAACTTGTTGCTAGAATGTCCTGTCCTCCTGCAAGATTTTTCTCCCTCTCACTCTCCACAAACACACTGTCTTCCAGGACCCGAATCCTCAGGAATCTGTGGTACTTCAGCCACTCACACTCCTTCCAGTGGTATGCTGGTAAATGCTTAACAGCTGTCCCTCTGAGGGGAAAAGCCCCAGTTGGTAGCATTTGTTAGCGTTTTTGTGATGTAAATATTCCCACCTGGCAAATTTCAAGCTGCCCAAGCGAACATCTCCTAACAGAGTTGGGAAGAGATGCAGACAGTCAAGCCAGCTCCAGCACACCACTGACCATTCCTCCCTGCCAATTCTTGCCTGTCCTTTATCTGAGTCAAAGTCTTTTCTTTCATCTGCCCCATTCCTGTTAGTGACGGTAATGATAATATCACCTAATTTGGTAACTACATGGTAATATCACCTACCATGTAGTTTCCAAATTACTTTCCACATCCATTATTTCATTGACTGCTTATAACCACTCCATGAGGTGTGTGATTATCTCCATTATATGCATGGAGAAAATAGGGTTTGAAGAGATGCCAGGGCTTATCTAAGATCCTATAGAGACTTCCCAGACTTTCTGACTCTTAGTCCAGTGGCCTTCCCAGCATATCATTCTTCTCCCCCTGCCATGAATGTGCACAACATGGAGAGCTAAAAAGCCCTGCTTTCAGTTGGGAGAAGGTAAAGGGAGAAATAAATAAGGAAATACCATGAGCAGTGGGCTGGGGGTTATGAGCCTTTGTGACCATAGCCCTTCTGGGGCTCTGCTTCACTATCTGAACGGTGGGAATGACACTGAAAACAAATTGAGGGAGCTCCTTCCAGACCTACAAGTCTTTGAATCTAGAACTCTCTCTAAGGCCCAGTTCTGAGTGGGGTAGCTCGCCAGGGGGAGCAGCCCAAGAGAAGGCCCTCCCCTCTAGAGGAGTTGTCAGCAGTGGTGTGTGAACTTGCTGGTGAGAGAAGAAAGAAGCTGTCCGTTGGGAAAAATGGATCTAGGTTCCAAGACAAGGAGATTGAGGAAAGGGGCCAAAGAAAACTTAGAGAAGAGATTGTGCTAACAAGAAAAGAAGTTAGTGCATAAGGTGGTAAATATTTTTAGGGCCCTAAAATGCTCAAAGCAGGTTTGGAACATGGAGATCAAATCCGCAAGCCCCAGTGACTTGCTAGGTGATCACGGTCAAGTCGCTGCTCGTGTCTGAGTTTTGCTTTATCTGCTTCTGTCACAATGGGGTACTTCTTTGGGTTCATCTCTGATGATCTGGCCACAGTGACTCTACCTGGAACACCAGCCTAGTAGTTAGGTGGCTGTGATTATTGGTGAAAACCAGGCAAAGGTGCTACAGGCGGACAAATTACATCAAAGGAAGGACTGCATAGGGAGGTAGCGGTATAGAGATAATGGACTCCATAGGTCATAGCCTTAATCCTGCTATGGGCAGGAGCCAAGGACAGACGCTCCTGTAGTGCCTGCGAAGGAGGACCAGAGCTGCTAAGAATGAACCCCTGCTGGTCCCTTGCCTCTCACACCTTGTATTCTCGGCACACCATACATTCATTCTGCAATTATGCATCTACAGGCCTTCTTGTATATTGTTCTGTTCCCCTGAGTACTTTCCCCGTGAAGTCTCACTTGTCCTCAGGACCCCACTCAAATTTCACCTCATTCAATAACAAAAAAAAAATCAAAACCATTTATTGAGCACCTACAATGTGCCAGGCACTTTGTTAGACACTAGGATACCACAGAAAGTAAGACAACAAGGACCTAGTCCTTATGGAGATCACAATCTGGTCAGGGAAGTGGATATTGAAAGTAAACAAAAGGAAAAAACTTTTCCTAGCTTAGGAATGAAGCAACAGGGTGAAATGAGAACTATGGGGAAACCCACATTAAATAGGGTTTAGGGAAGTCTTCCTTGATAAGATGACTTTGAGCTGAGACTTAGGATAAGAAGGGCTCAGCTCTCCATGGGGAAAAGTAAAAGAGAATTCCAGGCAGAGGGGAAAAACAGTAAAAATGCATAGTCCCTGAGAAGGGGATGGGGTTTGTGCATTTGAGGAATGACTGGCCATGTGGCTGGAACATGTGAGTGAGGACTAAGGGCATGGTTTGGAATGAGATTGATAAAGTAGACAGGGACAGATCCTATAAGGCCTTCTAGGCCATGGTAAGGAGTTTGGATTTTATTTGGAGAACACTGGAAAGCTGAATTCATAAGCAAATGGCTTACCCTCTTGAAACCTCATCAGCAATTTATCTGCACTTTTGCCATTTTTTGTTTTTAGTTAGTCATGTGTCATTGTGCTAGACTGTGAGCTTCTGTGGAGGGCTCACACTTGCCTCACAAGGATGGTGCAATGATCCTGGGAGATAATGATATGAAAATATAAAGCCTAATACCTGGTCCCAGATGGCTGCTCATTCAGGGTCAGCTGAAGTGAAGGAAGTACAATTCCTTTTGTCATCTTCTCTCTGCAGAACTGGGAAGCACGCCTACTGCTGGAGAGGTCGTGTGCTGTCAAGTGCCCGGACATTGCCACACAGCTGGCTGGCACTAAGAAGGTGCAGCAGGAACTGAGCAGGAAGGGTGTGCTGGAGGCACTGCTGCCTGGCCAGCCTGAGGCTGTGGCCCGCCTCCGTGCCACCTTTGCTGGCCTCTACTCATTGGACATGGTGCGTGGGCAGACCCAGTTTCTCCTACCACAGGCCTCCTAGGCAGAGACCTGGAGCCCAGTGTGCTGGGGAGGCTGGAGTTGGCATTGACACCAGACTTGGTCAGTGATGCTCTCTCTGGGAGGACCACTAGAGGCCTCGGGTAGGTGAGGGTGGGCAGCCTCGCAACGGGATGATGGAGGCTGGTGACCAGGGGAGGGGACTGAAGCAGACAGCAAGGACTGAGAAATCTCTGCACCCTTTCCAGGCTCTGCTGCAGAGTCCGAGTTTTTGCCAGAGAAAGCCTGTTCTCGTTGCACTTGTTGCTGCGGGGACCGGATGGGGCCACATCCAGATAGTAGCATCCAGCTTGCCGGAGTTTATGGCTGTCCCCTCCTGCTTTTGCCTCTTTGGCTTTCAGACTGCTGGTGACTGCTTGCTTGCCTCCTGCCAGGGCGAAGAAGGGGACCAGGCCATCACCGAGGCCCTTGCTGCCCCACACCGATTCGTGCTAAAGCCCCAGAGGGAGGGAGGAGGTATGTAGTTACCCCTTTGCAGGACTGCTCAGTGAGAGGGTGCTAGTAGGCTGTCACCAGCACTGACTGACCCTTGTTTTGGGCACAGTCTCAGGCTCTGAGGGACACAAGAGAAAATGACTCAGGCCCACACCTTGGTCAGTGTCCTGGGAGATCCTGCAACCATGTGCTGTGGAGAACAGGGGAATCTGATTAACCAGCACTAGAGGATTTGGACAAGTTGCATTTGAGGTGCCTGTAGGTAGATTGTGGGGAAGTGGGTAGAGGAATATTTATTAGGAAGTTGGACGGAATACATATCTGTCTTCCTGCCTAGTTTGAAACTCTTTGAGGACAGGGATCATGGGCCCAGAGATCATTTTTAGTCTGGATCTTAAGAGATGGCCAGGAGTTTCCCTGTAGGGAGAGCATTTCATACAGAAGGAGCAACCACAGGCAAAGGGCCATGAAAGCATGGCATTTAGAGATTAATGAGTAATTATTGAGGTTGGAGAATAGTGTGGAAGATGGGAGACAGGGATTTGGGCTGGGAAAGATGGTTTGGGGCCTAATTTAAAAAGGCATTGACTGTATATTAGGAAATTGGATTTTATGCTGAGGACAGTGGGAAGCCATTAGAGTTCTAAGGAGGGAAGGGCTATATCCAGGATCCATGTTTCAGCCATTGTAGAGGATGGTCTAGAATGAGGAGAGACATTTGTGACAGAGACCGTGAAGGAGGCTGGTGCCAGGAGAACGATGAAAGAGACTGAGGTAGGGCTGTGATAGTGTGCAGCACAGTTTGTCAGAGTTAGTGACAGTGGTTCTGAGAGGTAATGCAGAGGGAGGAGTTAAATGGGACTCAGAGATGGCTTTCACCTGATTGGCAGTAGGAAGACCTGGGGGGGGGGGCAGGTTTAAGCAGAGCTCTGGTAGCGTAGTACCTAAGGCACTTAATTGCTAACCAGAAAGCTGGCGGTTCAAATCCACCAGCCACTCCTCAGAAGGAAGGTTGGGTAGTGATACCACCTCGGAAACCCATGACTGCTATGAGTCAGTCTGACTCGAGGGCACATAACATATAACAAAACAATGAGTTCTGTTTGGAGATGTGGAGTTTGTTTGAGGGGCCTGTGGAACATCCATATGGTGTATAGAGCAGGGAGCTTGATTTGAAGATCTGAGAGTTAACGACTTACCAGATATAGCTGGAGCCCTGGGAATGAAAAAGGTCTTACTGGAAAAATGTGTGTGTATGGAGAACAAGGGTAAAGGCTGATTCCTAGGGAGCCTTAATATTTAAGAGAAGAGGAGCCAGTGATGAAGGTTAAGAAGGAACATTTATAGATGGATAGGAGAAGAATCAGGGCAGAATGGTGTGGTGGAAGGTATGTTCACATGTGTAAGGACTCTTACACATGTGAAGGTTGACATTCTGTCCTTGGTAACCAGACCTGTACTGACCTCACTGAGCTCATGTCAGGAAGAGAGGTTGCTGATGAGTAGCCCACTCAGTCTTGCCTTTATGGCTCCAGAAGTGAGGGCATAGGGTAGGGGAGGTGGGCAGAGGGTCCCAGGTGACCAGCCAGTGGAATTGCAGGTAACAACCTATATGGAGAAGAGATGGTCCAGGCCCTGGAGCAGCTGAAGGACAGCGAAGAGAGGGCCTCCTACATCCTCATGGAAAAGATTGAACCTGAGCCTTTTGAGAATTGCCTGCTCCGGCCTGGCAGCCCTGCCCGAAGGGCCCAGTGCATCTCCGAGCTGGGCATCTTTGGGGTCTATGTCAGGTGAGCAATCAGGAGGGGCTCTTCCTATCACCTCTCTGCCAAAATGCCAACCAAGCAAGGTTGGAGGGAGCACTGGATAGGGAGTCAGGAATCCTGGGCTTCGGTCCTAGCTTTGCCAGTCCTTGGCTGTGGTAGCTGTTTCCTTATCTATAAAATTAGACCAATGACCCAAGCCTTGCTCACTTCAGGGTTATCAAATGAAGCTCAGATGAGATGTGCTTTGCAACTATAAAGGAAATTTCAAGTAGTGTCAAGAGGGATGAGAAAATAAGGATTGTTAACCTAGGACTAGAAGAGGACCCTAGGGAAGAGATCATTTGGATCCAGCTCCCAGGCTGCTGGGGATTCTGAGGAAAGGCAGGATGGGCCCCTAGATGCCATTTGGTGCCTTTGAAAAGCTGAGTGGCCCCCTGGATTTGCCTACATAATGTTTTTCATGTTGTAGTTGTTAGATGCTGTCGATTCCAACTCATAGCAACCCTATAGGACAGAGTCGAACTGCCCATAGGGTTTCCTAGGCTGGAATCTTTATAGAAGCAGACTGGCAGGTCGTTTCTCCTGCAGAGCCACTGGTGGGTTCACACTGCCCACCGTTTGGTTAGCAGCTGAGTGCTTAACCATTGCACCATCAGGGCTCTTAGCCCCCTGGCTTTGGGTTTAAGCACTAAAGAATCAAAAGGAGAGGAAGACTCAGGACTTGGTGTGGAATAGCTCCTGTACCCTCATACTGCTTCCTGCAAAATACTCCAAGGACAGGGTTAGACAGTGACACCAAAGTCTGTCCTCTCTATAACCTCCCCCTCTACCACCTGCATCATTTCTACCTGCCCCTTCCCACTAATCCTCAACACCACCATGGCCAGCTTAACAGAGGTAGAGAAGGAAATTCTTAGCTACTGAGTGTGAAATGTGAGCCTGGCATCATGCCAAGTGTTTTTCCTGCCTTATTTAATCCCCCAGATCATCTTGCAATGCGAGGGCTATTATCCCTATTTTAAATCATGGACAATGATATTTAGAAAGGCTAAATAATTGCTCAAAGACACAGAGCTAGTATAACTTTCAAGCTAGGATTCAGACCCAAATCTGACTCCAAAATCCTAGCACTTCCTTGAGGTTAGTCACCCATGTTCTGCTCAGCTGGGACCAGTGAAGGGTTCTGAGTTTGGGGGCTCAGTCCAGGTGATAAGAGTTGTATGTCTCCCGCCCCCATCTCTGTAGGCAAGGAAAGACACTTGTGATGAACAAGCACGTGGGGCATCTGCTTCGAACCAAAGCCATTGAGCATGCTGATGGTGGTGTGGCCGCAGGAGTGGCAGTCCTGGACAATCCATACCCTGCGTGAGGGCACAACCAGGCTGGCCAAGACTTCTCTCAGGAGACCTTCTGTCCTCTGTCCTTGTCAGTCCTCTCGTAGCCCTTCTGAGGGGATTCTCTCCACCTTCCTTGGGAGGGCTAGTCTCTTCCAGAGACGCCTAGGGTCTTTGTGGAGGGGTAAATGCGCTGAGGACCAGAGGAGGTGTGTTACCCTTAGATGAGATCTAGAGGCCCCTGAATCCTCCAAGTGTGGGTATAGCTGAACCCTCCTGTCAGCCCCTCATCAGCCTTTTCAGCAGGTCCCAGCGCCTGACTTGGGATAAGACTGGGGGGTAAGAGGAGGAGTGGAGGCATAGCCTTCCCCAACTCTGCGTTAAGTAAAAGTACATTGCTGGTTCTGTGAGTCCTTGGTTTGTGCATGTACGGGAGGAAGGAGTCATAATCTGGGTCAGCCCACTTAAGGTGGCTTAGAGGTGACTAGGCTGTACTTGGGATCTCCCTAGACTCAAACCCTATGAACCTGAAGTTCCAAGTCTTAGTCGCTCATTAAGGCTCTCTTCAGATCATAGGAAAGAAAGAGGGTCCCTGGCATGAGTGAAAGAGTGAGGGTAACTGTGATGGGACATCGTTAACTGTGAACTTTAGCTGCTTTTGAATCTTCTGCTCAACTCGAGGACTTGTCAAGGGGCCCGTGAGTGAAGCCCTGCCTACCTCTGCCCAAAGCAGAAGTTCTAAAAAGAGGATATTGGGGTAGGCTTGGAGAAAACCACTCCCTTTTTACTGCCTCCCCCACCAATCAGAGTAGCTAACGAGTATACAGTGTGTAAGATACACAAGAAAACAAGTCACCACCTTCCTGAGGTCACAGACTTTATTCCTACAACCAAAGGGCTTGAACATGACTGAGGCAAGAAGAGTTTCATCTGAGAGTTTCTTATGGGCAGGGCTCTGTTCAGAGCAGGGTGGGAACAGAGGACAGGGAAGACAAGTTCCTCTGGTACTAGGAACACAACATGTCTACTCTCTCAGTGAAGCAGATTATCTGAAAACCCTCTGGAGACCAAATCTACCCTCATAGCCCCTGGAGCAAATGGGCACACAGCACTGTCATCATCTGGCACTAAAGAGAATTTAAACCCCGAACAGAACCAGCAAAGTGTTATAAAAAATAGTAATTGTCCCAGGACCACGAGTAGGCATTTCTAAGTGCAAGTACATGCCCAGTGTAAGTGCTGGTGCTTCCTGAGAGAGCTGAGGCAGGGTTACAGAGCTGCTCCCTGCTTCAGTCGAGGCCCTCACTTGCCCTCTCAACACGTAATGTTGGTTGGGGACATAACCTTCAGATCCAAGTTCTGGGCTCTGAGGGCTCTTTGCAGGCTGAGCTTATAGGAGTGTGAGGTTGACCTGGGCCCTGTCCCGTCTGCTTGGCAGTCACAGGAAGTTTTCTCCGCCCAGGGGCAAATCTGGTCCTCAGTCCCAGGCAGCAGGTTGAGAGAGGTGGTGTGGGTGAGCAGCACTAGCCCTCAGCACTCCTCCATGGGGGGCAGGGTGGATGGGCACAACTTTTGAGAGCCAAATGGGGAATCACAGGTAAAAGTCAGGGTCTTGTTCACTGGGTGGCCAGGCAGCGGTGGCTGAAGAGGTGGCTGATGACAGATGGGTCAGCCACAGTAGATGTGTCCCCCAGGTTGTGGTCATTCTGAGCGATTTTCCGAAGCACACGTCTCATGATTTTCCCTGGGGGAACCACAGGCTTTTGGTCACCTGGTGACAGCACTGACCCACCCCCTGCCAAAGGCTCCCATGCACACATACTCCCCCACCCTTGGCCTCAGCCAATCACAGAGGGGCCTCGGAGCATACCTGAGCGAGTTTTAGGCAAGGCAGGTGCATTCTGGATGTAATCCGGTGTGGCAATGGGGCCGATCTTTTCTCTAACTGTAACCAACATCATCAAGCATTTCTTCAGCATCTTTAGCCAGGCCCCCGGAAACCAAGGTAGAGATGGCTTTGTTTCCCACCTATTTCATCTTCAAGGCCCTGACCACAGAGTCATTCTCAGGCTCACTGCCTATCTGTCTGTCTCTTTCTAGCACATCATCTCTTTACTCTCATTTTATCTTAATCTACCAGAATGGAACTCAGGTTCTGGAATCACCCTGCTGGGGTTACTAGCAGTGATTAGCAAGTGATTTAACTTTCCGGAACCTCAGTTTCTTCATCTTTAGAAGAATGAGGGTAACAAGGTCTATTTCATGGGGGTGACTGTAGGGAGTAAATGGGATAATGCATTTAAACCACTTAGCCCTTTGGTGGCACAGAGAAGTGGTCTATAAATGTTAGCGATGCTTATTATCCTAGTGGAGATACTAGTGGGAGACTGAGCAGGAAGAGGACAACCGATCACTGGAGCCCCCTGGGATCTGTTCATGGTTTGGGGAGCAGCTTGCTCCTTCCCCTCAATAACTTGCTGTGGTAACTGGGCTACCAAGACAGACCCCGCAGTCCCTGCCCAGGGAGGCTCCTCACTCTGCTTCTTGAGTTCCTCGGTAAGGGTGGGGCTGAAGGTGTGGCCATCACACAAGGTGACAAAGCAGTACAGGCATTCACCCTTCACAGGATGAGGGTGTCCAACCACAGCGGCTTCCACAACAGCCTCGTGTTCCACGAGCGCCGACTCCACCTCAGCTGTGCTCAGCAGGTGTCCTGGTCAAGGGGAAGGAAGTGCCATGAGAGAGAGATCCCAATTTCTCACCCCAGCCTCTGCTCTACTGAACCCACAGGGCAGGCCAAGTCTGGCCAAATGGAGAAGGCCCTTCATTCATTCCTCACATGGCATCTTTCCAGTTACCCCACCAACCTGGTTCCCCTCCTTTAGGACATTCCAGTGTTCATCTCTTCCTCCGAAACCGGGGCCATAAGTCAGTGTTGTACCTCAGGCATGGTCTGGCCAAAGGCCTGTACTGGTGCTCTCAGAAGGCTTTGGCTGGGAGTTGCCAGCAGGGCAAAGCTAATGAGATGGGAAAGTGGTCCCTGGCCCTCACCAGATACGTTGAGCATGTCATCAATCCTGCCAGTGATCCAATAATAGCCGTCCTGGTCCCTCCGGCAGCCTGGGAAGCAGAGGTGAGGTCACACACCAAGAAATGCACAACATAATACACATCCCACAGTAGGAATAAATGTACATTTACCAACTGCCACACCTACTCCAGTAGCCTCCTAACATGGCTTCCTGCTTCCACTCTTGCTCTCTCTGGCAGCCAGCATCCAAGATGGCCCCAGTGATCTCTGCCTCCTGGTAGTCATACCTCAGTGTAAGTCTAAGTCTCCTTTATCATTTTACTAGTCTGTGTGACCACTAGAATATGGCAGAAGTGGTGGGATGTCAGTTCTCAAAGCAGGTTATAAAAGATACTGCAGCTTCTGACTTGGCTGCAGGGGCTTCCAGTAAGATGGTGGAATAGGCAGACAAGCTTCCCAGACCCTCTTCAACAAAGAACAGAGAAACCAATTGACAGAGATACAGAAGATAATCCTGGAGCCCTGAGCTTTGACAGGAACAGTATAGAAGTGGATTAGGCACCAACTAGTGGAAAAACCTGAACGAAATCACTGAGTACACAGATGGTGGAGTGGTGGACTGTCAGCTACCCTGACGGCACCAACAGCCTGAATATTTCTAAGTGGTGTTGGGACCTGAGAATTGACCTAAAGATCAGCTGTGGTCACCACAGGCTGCAGGGACAACTGTGCTGTTGGCCTATGACTAGGGAGGGACACAGCAAGGAGGGAGACAACCTGAGCTGTGGACTTTTGGCTATCTGGAGGGTACAGCCATTTTGATTGTTTACAAGTGGTGGCCATTTTGGATATTTAAAGTGACCGAGGGTGTAGCCATTTTGAATGTTTACAAGTGGTGGCCATTTTGGATATTTAAAGTGACAGCATTCTCATTCAGAGTCCAAGGACCTAAGAATAGGTTCTGTTTGCCAAGGGCAGCAGAAACATATGGGAGGCTGATACCAGGAAAGGAGACAGGTGGTGAAGGTATAAGTGCTGCCAACTAGTGAACAGAGGAGCACAGTACCCTGCTTACGTAGATAGCATACAAACAAAATGAAAATTATGGACAAGTCACTCCAATATACAATCACTAATTAAATATAAACACAAAAATGTCACAATGCCTCAGAGACAACAGATCATCACAGTCTACATAAAGAAACAAGATAAACCAGGAGAAATAAGGGACCAGGATGGAGACCCAAAACACATCTCTGCAGAAGAAGCAGCATTGGAACTCCTTGATAAGGAATTCAAAGGAATTATATTTAGGTACCTTCAATGGATTGAGAAACAGATCAAGGAAAACACCAACAAAATTGAGGAAAACAGAAAATCCTAGAACAAGTTTGAAAGACAACACAAGAACAAAATGACAAAAACAATGAAAAATTAGAAATGAGACAGAATCTACACACACAAATCCAGAAGACTAATACTAAATTTTCAGAAATAGATAACATATTGAATGGGAAAGGAGTACAATTGAATTAATGGAAGACAGAATTAGTGAGACTGAAGGCAAATACCTTAATACTTCTTTGGAAAGGGATTAATCAGAAAAGAGATCCAAATGAAGAAAGCCTAAGGTTCACGTGGGATGCCATCAAAAGGAATAACATACATGTAATTGGAATTCCAGAACAGGAAGAGACAGAGAAAATTGTAGAAGATTTGTCAGAAGAGAATTTCCCTGGTATGATGAAAGATGAGAATATATCCATTCAGGAAGTCCAAGGAACTCCAAACAGAATAGATCCCAAAAGAAAATCACCAGGACAGATTATCATCAAACTCACCAAAACTGAAGACAAAGAAAATCCTGAAAGCAGCACAGGAAAAGCAAAAAGCCTACAAGAGGCAACCAATAAGACTAAGCTCGTGTTTCTCAGCAGAAACCATGCAGGCGAGAAGACAATGGGATGGTATATATAAAACCCTGAAAGAAAAATTTCCAATCAA